ACCACAGCCAGGAGCACTAACGAACCAGCGGTATCGACGATCCTAGCTAACGATCCCAGAGGTTAAATAGCTGAGTACCAGTCAGTCAGAACTGAAGAAGTCTCTTGGATGAGGGACGAAACATCTTCTAGTTTTTTCTACAAAGTCCAGTTGCCCTTAACCTCAACCTTTGTTGGATAACTATGTCCTGGATGACTGAGAACCTTCACAGACACTGTGAGGAAATATTTGCCAAAAAGACGTTTATTAGATTAGAATCTAATACCCCACCTTTAACTTTTTCGGTCTATTAAATGTCAAAAAATAGTGAAATAACCATCCCAGAGTCAAAGCTGCATGTTCAGATGTGCGACCAACAGTCCAAACCTCAAAGATGAAACTGATGGAATCAGTGGAACATAATAGAAAACGTAATATGTGCAATATGGTTCAGTGGTATGATAGATATGAAGGTATGCCTGTTAGGGGTGGGGGAAAAAAAATCGATACAGCATAGTATCGTGATATTTGCCATGGCAATACTGTATCGATACACGGACGCCAAGTATCGATATTTTATTATATAAATTGCAGATGGGACTTTTTACTTTTTGGTCCTAGAATAATATAATCTTCTTTCTTTTTTAGTCCACTAGAAAACTTAACAGGACCATATAGAGGACTGAAAAAGTGATATGAACAAACAAACCTAGGAACCTAATTGGAAGTTGGAAAAAGGTAATAAATTGAATCGCAACATAAATATCGTGATAATGTCGTATCTTGGGGCCTCTGGTGATTCCCACCCCTACCGCATGTGGGGTTAAAACTTCAGCAGGTGAAGCAAAAGGGGGAAAAAAAAAAACTGAAGTGGGGTCACATGAAGTTTGATGTCTGCAGTTCACATCCCTTCAAGTCTATGTGGACTTTCAATACATCTGTTAAATGTGACGGACAGGAAAAAAGCTTGAGTAATGCTTTAAAAATGGTGTCAGTATAAAAAAAAGTCCTAAAATGAGCTTGAACAGAGCTTTGAAATAAACCTGTCTGAGATAAATAGGGCCGACAGCAGCGAACCTACAACTACACAGGAGTGTGTGTGTGTGTGCGCGTGTGTGTGCGTGTGTGCGTGGTTTGTCTTGTAATTCAATGTGACTTTGTGACCGACACGATGTAATTTATGTCTTAGTGACCTGAATAAAGATGGATGTGATACCCTGCTAGTCTCACTCTCACACACACACACACTTACTTCACTGCAGACTGAGAGAACTCTAAAAAGATGTGGATTTGTCCGGCGTTGCATCCAATCCAAATAGCTGAATGAATCGAAACCACGGTGGATGCAGTGATTCCTCTGACACCAACCCACACACATACACACAAAGTCAAAGGATACATAACATCGACGAGTTCATAAATCACATCACAAATCAGTTGGGTTTTTTTTGCCAGTGCTGTCCACCATTAACAATAACAACATTGTGATCACCATGTTAATATCTTAGATCTGCGAACACAGTGATGTGGCTAAAAAGATGTCAATGCAACCAGTCAGACTGTTAAATGTACATCCCAACATGTCTTTGTGATTCACCACAGGTGCTAAATGACAACAATATAAAACATAAAGTAAAACTCCTCCATGTAGAGCAAAAAAATAGGTCTAATATGTCAGAGCTCTATAGCTGTATGTTAATGAATCTGTCTGCAGTGCTGACAAGAAGAGCTGAGAAGCAAAGAGGATCAAAGCTGCAGTTTTACCAAAGAATGAGAGAGATAGTGAGCGATGGAAATGAGCGAACTAAAATCTCAGTTTGAAAATTCATTTTTTTTAAGTTTATTTGTTGTGTTCATTTTTTCTGTGAAAGTTACTGTTTCAAGAGGAAAATTTGCTGCTAAAGATAAATGAATAATTGTGAGAACTGTAATCTGAATATAGTTTAAATTTCTAGATACTTTTCATGGAAATCAGGAACCTTAACCTGCGTTTCAACCGGTGAAAAGAAACCAAAGTTCTAGAGAGTTAAATGTTGGAGCCATTCTGTGTATTGGGATGGGGTGGCGCTGTGTTCTGCCACGAGTTTACTTAAGACAGGTGTTAATTAGTGCAGGTGTGGCGCACAGCGAGGTGCATGGTTTGTGACCGTGAGGCACGGCGTGTAATCATGGAGACTGACTTGAGTTAAGTTTATTATTGAAGAAATGTTTAATTTTTGGTTATGTTAATAAATGGATCGGCATATCCGACTTTAAGTTCAGAAGTTAACTTCAAAAGTTCATTATTTTATTATTTTAAGCCACAAGGAAACAACAGGCCCGCGACATGCGTGCAAAACAACTTAAATGTTGTCTAAATACAAGCATCCGTATAAGAACTTTGCATTATTAACTGCTAAATAAAACTGGAAAAATGGAAGGTTAAAATGTAGATTTAAATTAGGAACTATCCGATCAAAGAAAAATATTTGAATCTGAACAGATATTTGATGAGAGCTTTGGGTTCCTGACAGGCACACAACTTGATTGCAGTAATCACAGAACACCACTGAACACACAAAAGAAACTCAAACCTTAACAATTTAAAATAATAATATTAAAATAATAAAAGCCGCATCCACACTCTTTGACTGACACGAATGAGCACTGTGCAACAAAGAAAAATTACACATTTCAACCAAAAGGTTTCAGGAACTATGGAATAAAAGAAAGAAACTCTGGAAACTAAAAGTCCTTTTTGCACATTTATGTTTGCTTTTCAGCCGGATTTAAAGAACCATGAAGAGTAGACAAACCACTCTGATAACAGATTAAAAAACAACGGCTGCGTTTGAAACACAATTTATAAACTCTCAGTAAGAAACTGATGATTATTGAGAAGAAGGAAAACTTGTCTGTGTGTACAGTTTTTGGAACATTTTATTAATGCAACATTCTTGCATGGCTGCTTGTATTTAACATTTAATAACTTGTCAAAATGCAGGTTGAGGTTCCAGAGTTCTCAGAAAAGTTCCTGTGGTTGAAAAAGAAGAATACTACAAATAAGTAGTAAATGAATCATTTGGTTGATACTAATTGAGCACGTGATGGCATGAGATAACACAATATGAAGGTCTGAATAATGTCACATGCTGCTCAAGCAGGAGCAGAAGGGGAAGAAAAGACGAAGAGGAAACCAGATTTCAAAGTATGTGAATTTGGACATATTGTATGAATCTCTCTCTCCAACACATCTCAGCCTTTCAGTACAAAACGGTTCTAACCAACACATACATATTAATGTCAATATGGAAACACGCTAGTCTGACTCAAAGAGCCGGCATCCATCATTCCTGTTGGCTCAAACAAACAGAAAAACTAACATTGTTGAGTTCCTGACTGTTTCCTATTCTATCTGATACATCTGTGTGCAGTCAGCAGGTTTTACATCAGGAGCATCCCTCCGTCTTCCCCTGTAATCTGAGAAAGCTCAGCCGACACACGATCTGTTTTTATTCTTAATTTACAAGAAAAGTTGACTGAGGCTGTGTGCTTTCTTTCTCCAGTACTTTGTAATACTTTGGTATTGCCATTTTCAAAAAATATCTGCACACCACGTCTGAATTTATATCAACACACACAAAACCAAGCAGGTAGTTAAACCATTGTGCTTCTGTTGCTTCATGCAAACTAAAATACAATTCAGACCTACATTTTCATGTTGTTTCTTCTGAAAGAAATGTCTGACCAATAAAATCTCTGTTTAATGATGTTAGGCAGCAGCACGAGTTTGTCTTCATTTCATTTCTCTGACTGATCTAAGTGAGCAGCTCAGACTGAGGTCACTGTAACAGAGTTACAAAGAAAATCTGTCGGATAATGAATGACAGGAACAGGAAAGAGGCTTCTTTTCATTCATATACAAACAAGGTTGAAAACCATGATAATTCAAAGTCAAACTCACCTTCCCCAAGCTTTTTCTTTCTTTGGTTAAGAAGCATTTAAAGAAGGGGGGGGCGCGTTAACGCATTAATTAATTAACGCCGACAATTATTTTATCGCACGTTAACGCAGTTTTTATTTTTATTATTTTGAAAGCCAGTTGCTCACTGGCTCTGAATACACATACACATACGTGGGTCACAGGAGGGTCAAATCACCCACCCAAACCAGCAGTGGAGGGAGGCTTCGGCAGACTACGCTGTCATCTTTTTTCCATATTTTTCCACCCGCGATCCGTTATCACGGCAGCAGGTGAGCCGCCTGCTTGTTAATGACGCAGCCTTTCAAACAACTCAAACAGCCGAAACCAACATCTGCACCCTGTGTTCAACGTTGCTTTAACGTTACCTGGTCTGTGCTTGTAAAATATCCACCGCGACTTGTAACGTCATTTCGAGTTTTTAACAGAGAGAAGTCTCATGCGATTAATCACGATTAAAAATTGTAATCGTTGCCCAGTACTAATTTAAAGCAAAATATTATAATTGCTGTTGGACTATTGCTGATCAGTTGTGCGAAAACAAAAAGTAGACAATTTCTTCTCAGACACACACATATTTCACATTTTCCTCCTTAATGGTTTTAAGGTGGGCTACTCAGAAACTGCATCATTTGAATGTTAGTGTTAGAACACATGTTCTAAGGGAGAGAAAGTTTTCAACCCACAGTAAATATCTGCACATTGATTGAGACTTCATAATAATTTGACAGGCAAGGCTGAGTCAGAGATGCAGCTCCACCTTTGATGTAAAACATTTAATAAAAGAAAGAACATTTACTTTCAGTTCGACTCTGTAGTTTCAGATTTCACAGAGTTAAATGACCTCTCAAAATGAACTCCTAGGAGAAGAAAACAGGGCCTATCTTGCTGCCCAATATGTATTAATAGGCCACAACCTGAGGGACAATGAATGACACACACAGCGCACGCATGTGTTCACACTCACAGACGGACACATGCACCTGAACCGGACGTTCTTAAGGAAGATATTGTAAGTAATTGTTCTGGGTCGTTTAGGGATGAATCAGTGTGGACTGACCTTCAGCTGCCTGGCGACCTCCACGTGGTTGTCGTAGACGAGGATGTTGGCGATGAGGTTCTCTCGCACTGTAGAGAAGGAGGACGGTCCCTCTGTGACGTTCGGCTCAACTATGACCTTCAGCAGAGTGTGAGGACACCTGGTCCCATCCCACACCTGAAAAAAAAAAAAAAACACAAGATGATGATGAGACTCTGCTCACAGGACACATATTTCCAACCTGCTACAGGCAGAGAAAAATAATGGCGATGAAAGTCAATTATCCATCAGTCTGTCTGTCTGTCCAGCTATCTATGAATGTAGAATATGAATATCTCTCACGCGGCCAAAGATCAGTTTCTGGGTTTATCACCGTTTGGTTTAGGGGACTTAGTTCCAATGGAGGGAAATCTTAATACTACAGCATTCTTTTGATCTTTATACTTTTTAGTAGAGGTGGGAATGACCCCATGAGTCCCCACGATACGATATTATCACGATTATGCGATTTTTTTATTTTAATTTATTGCGATGTACTGGAATTTCTTCCAACTTCAGATTATGTTCCCAAAGGAAAAAAGTCTTTTTCTAGTGGACTGAAAAAGCAATTGATGTTATTATTATAGTACCAAAAAGTAAAATTCTCACGTACAAATTATGTAATAAAAGATCTATACTTGGCGTCCGTGTATCGATACAGTATTGCCACGGAAAATATCGCGATACTATGCTGTATCGATTTTTTTCCCCCCACCCCTACTTTTTAGCGCGCTTCCAACTTCGGGGTACAATAACAACGTCATGTTATTTTCACCACTCTTCTGTAACAGAAATTCATTCAGTTATTTCCAGTGAGCTCTAGTTTTTTATTTTTTGATCGCTGTTAGATCCCGTCAGTGCCTTCCAGCAGGTCAAAGGGCTTGATTCTAAAAACCCCGGGTTTTATTTTAGAATATACAGTAACCAGTAATTGTTATTTTATCTATTAATGTGTTTCAACTAAATGTCCAGGATTCAATGTGCTGCTTTCCCTTTGTAGGCTGTGTAGATATTGTGAAAAACCAAATGAAATCAACGAAAACATTCTCAAACACACTGACATTGTCATCAACCTGAAAACAACCTGCAGAAGTGACCCACAGTTTACCTCTGCTGCAGTCTGTTTGTACAAACTCTATTCCCTCTCCTGAAGAAAGTTTAGTGTTGCTCCTTTTGCATCATTCTTCCAGTGCTAAACACAGACCCATAATAAATATTGATAAAAACAACCTGGCTCATTAGCCTGGAGAAATGCACCACAAACTACAGTTCATCAGTAGTTCACCAAGTCTGTAACTTTCTTACCCTCAGCAGGGTGCAGGTGGTGTCGATGGGAGCTTTGGCCAGCAGCTGGCAGGTCAGGTCGAAGTAAGCACTGGGCAGAACAGCAGACAGAGGGATTTTGGGAACCGGGGGGAGGAGAGCCTGGCTGGCGGCCCAGGATCGCAGCTCCTCCACAATCTGAACATCCTCCTGGTCGAAGTGGAAAGAGCGGCTGGATGTCCGCGGCTCCACGGCCCCACCCACCGCTCCGTCAAATGTCACCACAGAGAAACCGAAGGTGTTGATCAGCGTGATGGAGTCATTGAAGAACTTAGTCTGTGTAGAGAAACGTGGAATCATCACTGATCTCTGTAACATTGAGTCAGTTAGTTACATATTCTCAGTATGAAAACAATATTGGTGCTTTTAGATGTTTAGTTCCTAATTTCCTGCCTTAAAAATGACAAAATAACAATTCAGTGACAAAACATGGTTACTAAAACAATCTGTAATCCAGGCTGAACCTTGACTCTGTGCATGCGGACGATGTCTCCGATTTTAAAGATTTTTGGATGGTCTTCCAGCTTCTCACAGAACACGGTGCAGCAGATCTTCTGGTTGGACTGATCTGTAATCTTCAGGCTGGAGCAAAAGTCTGTGGAAAGAAAGCGGTCTGTGGTCGGATCTCTGACGTGAAAAAACAAGGACAGGAAACACTTCAGCTGCTCTTGATAGAGTTGTCGCAGATGCTGTTGACACTGACGGAGCACTTAAAACAAAACTTTAGGAATATGATGAAGAACAGATATATTTTGTTATCTATGATGTTTGTTGTTGTTTTAAAAATGATGATATCAAGTCAACAGCGGTAAACATAACATCCCTAAACCATCCATGTGCATACACGGAAAGCCTGAGGCAGAAAGCAGCAGCCACCCCCCCCCCCCCCTCAGGGTACAGAACAGAGCAGGCATCATTAACAACAAAAATAACATGATTAAGGGTAAGCAGGCTAAAGCAGCTTAAATAAGGCGCCTTGTATGGAATTTGCCAATGAATGCTAAGAGGAGAATCAGCTGAGCTATCAGCTGATGAGCTGAGATTACGAGCTGAGCTTGAGTTCATTGCCTGCCTGAACTAACGCTATGACCTCTTCATACCTTTTCCCTCCTCCATGCACCTTGGAAATATGTAAAGTTTTGCCAAAAATCCCTACTGTGCTTTGTTTGTATCTATCTGACAGCATTTGATCTGTGTGCACATCACGGTGTTTCTCAGTGTGGTGTGTGTGTGTGTTTCTCCAGTGTCTGATCAGATAGATTTTTGTAATATATTTGTTTACTTTAAAAGATGCCTGAAGGATCCAAAAAGACAATGACAAAGTCTGGACAGTTTGTAGCCTAGATGTCGCCTTCTCTTTATTATCCTTCCCAAAACACACACACACACACGCACTTCATCATCCTGTGTTGCATAGCTGCAGGTCGACTCAGACTGAGCAGTCTGGTGTTTATTGTCTTTTCATTTCCATCGCTCTTCTTTTGTGATATTGCAGTCTGAGCACTAACATCCGCCTGCTCCTCAGGTCCAAACTGTATTTTTGCATGATATCAGCTGCAGTGTATTAAAAGGGAAATTAAATCAATGACTAAACATTGTTCCAGAGGTTCAGTGCAGCTTCTTGTGTGATGTTGACGAGTACTGAAGCTTTTAAAGCCTGAGCAGTCTGTTCAATCCCAGACATCCATTATTAGACTATCAACACATAAGCTGAAAATATATTTTGCCATCCCACGCCTCTCCACACCTTTCTGAGTGTGTTGCAGGCAGAGACATTTCCATCGAAACAAACTGTGCATCTGCTCTTACCCAGCACTGATCCAGCTTTTATCACTTCAGGAAAGATTTTCTCTTTTTTCTGTGTGTCAGCTCATTTCTGTCTCAGAGCAGGGGAAGTGGTTTATGTTTCCTGATCCCGTTTACCAAAAACTATCAATCTCTTTTACATTTACTCTCAAACATGGCTGTTGAGCGTCTTAACGTCTCTGTCCGTGGTGCTGAAAAGGTCTGTCTGGTAACTCCTCTTTACCTTTATGGGAGAGAGCTGTCACTTTTATATACCAATAAACTTCAGGTTATAATTTGTGAATACAAAAATGAAGTTAAGAATTTGATCTAAAATAAAATATAACTTTATTCTACAATTTGTTTCGTTTTTAATTTTTTTAATAATAAAAAAAAAATCTTTTTCCTCATATGTGTATAGATTTATTGGTGGCAGTGTTGGTAAGTCTGTCCATTACTTTGGTTCAGACAGAAATATCTCAAGAACTATTTGATTAATGATATTCCCATCAGCTGTACTGTACTTCACATTAGACCCCTAGTGTTTTTACAGTTAAGGCTTTTTTCCCAGGCTGCTTTAGAAACACACTAACATACTCAATTGTTGCCCCATTTTTTTGTCTGCTTCCAGACTGACCTGTGCCGCGGCTCTTAAACGGCTGTTTGAAGAAGAGCACCACTCCGTACACGTTGACTACAGATCCAGCCTTCAGGTCACCCAGTCGGACGTACGTATATTTCGGAACCTTGGTAGTCCTGGAAACCTGAGGAGAAAGAAAGCTGAGTTTAAAAAAAGGGAACCAGCAGCCCAAGTTAGCATGAGAATATTAACACACTAATGTCAGCATGTTTACGTGCATTACATAAGATTTAGTGCTGGGCAAGGATTAAAATTTTTAATTAATCGCAAGAAATGTGATTAATCGCGATTAATCAAAATAGAATAATGAATTCTAAAGTAGTGTATTGCGCACTTTCGATTTAAATATACTGCTATATACACAAAAGTGCAATAACACGTGGTTTGCAAACACTTTAAACAAATAAGGTGCTTTTTACCAGCAGTATTCCCTTTACACAGTAGCAATAAAATATTTCTGTTAAATCTCAACTTAAACATTAAGCTAATCAAATCAAATATTAAATCAAAGCTATTTAACACTGCCAGGGCGTTACCTTTTATCTAGCTTGTTAATACAAGTTACCATCAGAGTCCAGTTTTCTGAACAGGTATCAGCAGAAACATTTTTTCAGGGAGCAGCAGAAACAGTCTATGTTCAGTAGCAAGTTTCCCTGTTACAGTGAGGTGATGTGGTCGAGCACAAGGTGTACTGGGTGCGTTCCCGTGAAACTGTCGCGGTCGTACTCGCCTCACGCACACGCCCGCCTGCTGCCGAAGTTAAACTGTCTTGAACTTTTTGTACGCGACGCGCAGCACAAGTCATTGGAAGAGAGACTGATCCTCTCTGTCTGTGAGTTTCTAGAATCTAAATAGTTATCAGGACATCAGCAGGAGGGAATTCACACGGCAGAGAGTCCCCGCAAAACTAAATGCAGGCCAATCAGGTAAAGTTAGCCTATGTATAATTTTAATTTAAGTTAGAAATGCTACGGCTGTGTAGCGCACGGGTAACGCGATAATATTGCGTTAACGTGCCCAACCCTAATAAGATTGTATTTATTCGGCAGGCACTTTTGACCGAAGCAATAATTTCTCCCTTCTGACACCTACTGAGAGGTAACAGCCATGTGGCAAGACGCTGTGGGGTTTAGTGTGAGATATATAAAGTTGGTCCGTCAAACTGCTACAATTTGACAACATCCCTTAACATGCGTTATGATACTGAGAAGAGGAGACACAATAAAGTAGCTACTGTGTGTGAAACTCTAACGTCTGTTTATATTCAGTTTCCACTGCATTCATTTTAGTGTGGCCCCCTTATCAATCCTCTGTGCATATTATTACCTCATTTATCGTTATTTACCAACACATTGTCATAGCAGGAGCCCAGCTGCTTTCTCCTCTGTTCATTTGCTGCTTTAAGCTAAAGATGAACCTCCTGCATGAGTTTCATAACAAATGTGTTTGTATTAATGTGATGGCAGTGGTAGGCCTTTACTGTGAAGCAACCACATGAAGTGTTGATAATGTCAGCATTATTTTTCAATGAGCAAGAATGAGTAGCAGAACTAGGTGATCACATTTTGTTTGTAGAAAAAAATAATCACAAACAAATTATTAGAGTGATTTTCAAACATTGTTCAGCACTTTCTGACCAAAGGACAGTAGGTCACAAAACAACAAAGACTGAAAACATCTGACTGGAGTAAACAAATATTCCACTTGTGATGTGTAATTAAGTAGTCTGGGTTTGGCTTGTGATCAAAAAGATGTATCAACATGCAGGTGAAGTGGTGAGATGTTTGGCAGAAGTGTTTTGCAGGCAATCCTCAAGCTTCAAATATAATAGAACAAAGATAACGCTCATCTTTGTCTCCTCCTACTTCATGTATGTGTCCTGTGATCACAGCAAATATCTAAAAGAACTTTACTGGCAGTATGTGAAGTGTCTCAAGTATCATGTTAACATCCACCATCTAAAAGTTATAACTGTGCATAAGAGAGTTAGTGGTTGTCAAACATGCATGATCACATGCTAACTGTGTGAACAGTGAGGAGAATGAGGAGCACCTGGAGCTCATTATCATCTCTGTACCATCACTGCAGACTATGATGAAGGCAAACTGAGGACAGAACTGACACTTGAATAACTAATAATCATGTTTTCCGAGATTGATAGATTTTGCAATCTTGGCATTTAACTAAACAGTTAATTTCTGATAAATGTTGAGAGCTTAGGAAGCGACTGATCAGAGCAACGGATTTCCAACTTTCCCAATCTCTTTCAACGTTTCAGTCAGACGGGATTTTCAGAGGAGGATAATAAAGATCTGAAAAATAAGCATATGCATATATAAAAGAGCGCCAGACAGAGGCAGTCTGCCCAACATTTATTTTTACCAGCATTTGTTCTACAGTAAAGATCAAACTCAGTCAGAGTCAGCTTTTTAATTTAAGTCTTTAAACTTTGATCACAGGCTCCTAAAAACATTTAAACTCTTTAATTTATTTTTATTCTGTTTGTGTTATTCTGTCGGTTGTATCTGTTGTAATGTTTATCACAGCTACACCTCACTGTTTGGCTTAATATTTTATTTCCTGTGGTTGTAAAGCAGCTCCTCTCCGTTTCTTGTTATATTATTGCATCTTCAGCAGTTGGAGCCCATAAGCTCTGTGGTGTCTTTACGCAGAGTTCAGACCTGACTTCTATATTCGTTCTCATGTGTCTCTGCAGGCTGACAGTGAGATGGGCTTTAATCATGAAAGTCTGATGTTATTTTTGCAATTTAACATTCACTGAGGAGCAAAACTGTTTCATTTTATCTATTAAAAGCAGTCTGTTCCTGTACTACAACATTTGGGATGAGCCACCGTGCTCTAATTTTGTATTTCACTCAGAAAGAAGAGGCTAGTTAGCCTAGCTTCCTAGCTTCAGCACTGATTCCCTCTAGACATTTTCATTCTTGCTATTTCAGCTCTAACGCACTCAATACTGTGTTCATTCGGCATTATAAAAAGGCTGGCAAGTGTTTGCTGTCACTCATTAAGGTGTATCCATACAACATGGATCGAGCCTTCATTAAGGAATGATAAAGGTATTTTAAAGCTTTTTAGAAAATATTTGTCAGGTATTGACAGGATAGTTTGACGTTTTTAACACCTAAAACATGATGTATGACACTTGATCCAGCACAGATTCAGTTCTAATTCAGTGTCTTTATGTTGTCTGAAGCTCTGACGTGCTGCTAAATGGAATTAAACTTTTAATTCTGCACTAAGATACAAGGGAGATTTTTTTAAAATAATTTTACAACACAGGGTTGTATAATGACATGAAGTTGTAGTTTCCTTTATGCTACTCACAAAATGCAAGCATGTACAATAATTATATACACACTAGATGGGAGGATTAAATAACAAGTCATGAAAATAAAAACTATTTTACATGGTGCAGTGCTGAGGATGAGTTTAGGAGTCCTACAGCCGGGGGGAAGAAGTTGCTCTGAAGTCTGGTAGTACGACAGCAGATACTTATGTATCTCAGGCCAGACGACAGCAGGGTGAAAAGGCTGTGGCCAACCCAAACTCCTAACCCTTTAGTTCAGATTTTCTTTTTGTCATTTTATGCACGAACCAGATTTTTTTCCAAAACTATAATTACAATAAAAAAAGTTACAATGTAAAGTCAAAGCAATGGCAGTCAAAAGCCATATTAAAGTCAAAATAGTAACTTTACAACATACTGTATATGGACTTTCAGGACATACTACATACTAAGACATGATTCTCGTAGTTTTAAGACTTTTTTCTCAAAATGTCTTGGGCTTAATACCAAGTTTTAAATAGTTTCTAATTGTTCTGATGCTTGAAGGAAGTTTTGACCTCGGATTTCTACATGTTTGAAGTGATGTTTTTTTAAATAACAATTACATCAAGCAGTTACTGTAAGCTGTGAGGTTTAAAGACACTGGTATCAAACAATCCTCGATGCCACATCATCACCACCACATAGACACAGAGGTCTAGTGAGACCCTGATCCAGCCGAGGTGACTCGGGGAGAGCCGGCAGCTGACATGAAGCATCCTGACAGATACAAGACCTTCACAACACACTCCAGCAGCCTCTTCAGCTAACAAGGCTTCTGACTCTGACCTCGGCGGAGAGTGCAGATCTCCTCTTGATGGCCGGTGGGGATCTGGGGTCAGGAGGAGGCGGCAGGCGGGACACCTGAAGGACAAAGACAGAGAGGAGGCAGTTCAGACACCACAGCAGACACCAGTGTTGCTGCATGAGTCAGGATGTGAGGAGAGTGAAATAATATCGATAAAGAGTCTCAAATAAAAATTTAAGTAAAACTGAGTGGACTTTACCTCAGAAAACAACATAATTCAATCTATCTAGACCCAAACCGTAAATGTGCCTATAAGGTTTATACTTAGTCAATCTGTACAGCCTACAGATTTGACTTGAATTTTTAGATCCACATAATGCTTTTTGACTTACTAATCTGAATTTGTAAACCCCCCCCAAATTATATATTAAATTGCAATTGCACACGTGACATGTGGGAATGTCCAAAGATTAACAGATGAGTTAGTGACAGCTGTAAATCCAAGGAACCTATGTTATTGTTGTTAACGTAGTTCAGCCTGCAGGTAAAACACGAGATGTATGTGAAATTCATCAGCAGGTAAACAGAGACACGTCTCCAGGTGGTGGTGTTGTTGTCATGTCTGTCTGAAACTGTCGTAGAGTTAAACACGGCAGCAGAGGAGTCACGTTCAATTTACAGCTCACACAGAAGATCTCATGCTCTGACAGACGGTTAGAGTCTGCAGACTGAATTCACACACACTTATAATTCTGTACCTGAACCTAATTCTAACCTTAAAACCAAGTCTTAACCTTTAAACAGTCCTTTGAAGTAGTGAGGACAGGTCAAAATGGCCTCACAATGCAGAAATGTCTGAAACTGAAACTGGTCCTCACAAAGACAGCAATACAAGCCCACACACACACAGATAATGAAGCTGTGACGCATCAGTTCAGACAGATATGGATGAGCAGTAAACGCGTACCTGGGATCACAACCTCACAGAGGTTCAGTCATGATTCTGGGGGTCGGGTGTGGTCTCTAAATGTTTTGCGCGTGTGCATTTGTAGGTGAAGTTTCATGTATTAAATGTCCAGTGTGTAATATTTAAGAGGATCTATTGACAGTAATGCAATATAATATCCATAATTATGTTTTCAGTGGTGTATAAAAGACCTTACTTAATGAACTCTTGTGTTTTTATTACCTCAGAATGAGCCTTTTCTATCTACATACACAGCAGCTAGCCTAAAAGGACAAACAGCTTTACAAAGCACGTTTCATCAACTAGTTTATTGGAATTAAAAGCAGAAGCGAAATTTGGACAAATGGAGGACCAGACGCATTATTTAGTACAAGAGCCGACAGAGCATGTCGGCCACCTTAGCTTCTCCTGCTCGCCTGGAAAGGGAGGGGTGAGCGGTGACTGATGGTGAATTCATGTGGTGTCGGAATAATTAAAATCTTTTAATCCTCCTTAAATCTTTATTGCAAAAAGAGATATAAAGTGTACATGGGACACAAAGAAGTATACAGAACTTTGATTTGCACAAAAATCACGTATTGTATATACATATTTTTAGTTTGTTATTATAAAGATAGCAATTATAAAGACAAAGAATATGGGTGAAAGGATGTATTAGCACATGCAGGGATTGTCTGAGCTACAGAAAGAGCTGGAGGGGAGTAAAAAGTGTTTTGTAGTGAAAAAGTAGCTTTCTGCTCTCATTGGCTGGATGTGGACGTCGAGTCGGCCGACTCCTCCAGATATTTGGCATGCTAGATATCTGGCTGGCGTCTGAAATGTGTTGGGGAGCCGTTTTGATGAGTCGTTGAGTTGTTCACACATAACTACTTACTTTATAATAAGAGCTCTGACATCATGTCAGAGATATCTGTATTGTGCTGCAGAGATATCTACAAGTTAGCATGCTAACTAGCTATCCCCAGCCCATCCTGTGTTGCAATACCACTTGTGCCTTGAGAGGCGATACTAGTGTCCAGTCACTCCATGATGTTGCACGAGCTGCTCTCCCTTGCGTACCTCGACCTCTCATTCCTCCACTACCTCTACTTTGTCTCCTGCCACCACCTGATCTTCCCCGTCTCGTTGTCTGGGTACACACGGGAGGTGGAAGCTCACCGAATCGCTGGACGCTTCTGATAAATAATGACTAATGTGTTCCATGCATTTTAACATAACTTTGTTGTTGCAAAAGAAGCAATACCTGCTAATTCAGGAACACATAAAAAGCTTAATTTATGAGGTTATTAAAAAGATAAGCTTTAACGTCATATGTGATTAGAAAAGAGCGGAATCGCTTGGAGAGTAAGCACCAGTTAGCTTGAAAGCGCACCGAGACTGCTTGGAAAGGAAGGTATCAGTCTGGTTGTTTGGATAGACCAGAGTTTGACTGACAGTTTTAACACCCGCTCAAACGAACTGCAGAATTCATTTTAACCGAACCTAACAGGTTTGGTGTTAAGGTATGCATAGCGCAAATGAACTGCGAAAGACATGAAAGAGCTTATTTATATGACTACATACATGCAGAACATATTACTTATTTATAAAAGTCCTCACATAAATGCAGGAGTCATCTTCTGACAGCAGCAGGTTACAGGGGTGCAGTTTATCCTTATGAAATGTTGGAGATTTGCCCACAGTGAAGCCAGAGGCCACCACCACATCCTGCAGGAACACACATGACAAACGACAACAAGCAGAGAAATCAGAGATTAAAACTGAGAGAGGTAAATATACATGCTTCTTCCCAGAAGGAGGACAGATTGAAGCAGCAGATGTTGCATCCTGGGAGACATTAAGTAAGACTTCACAACAAGCCACCGATGATAAGCTGGTGTGAAAAGTGGAGATTGTCTTTTGTTTGGCATGTCAGCTGCCCTCGAGACGGCTTTAAAGCCTCCACTCAGGGCTGACAAAGGGACAGCAGATAGTCTGAATAATCATGTTATAGAGAAACACAGCCTGACAAGAACTCTGTGATCTACAGCCGAGCGCAGCGGCTCAGGCTGTGATGACTTCCTGCCTTTCCGAGCTCTACAGTGCTTTGAGTTCCATCAAGACGTTGCTGTAGGGAAACCAAAACCACAGTGAGATGCTGCTGACAGGAGGATTATCCCTGATGTGTTCACTGTCCCCGACCAGGTCAAAAACAGATTTGCCGCCCTGTAAATAACATCACAACTGACGCTGTGTACAGATGTCTACAGTTGTGACAGTATAAGAGTGGACTGAGAGTGGACTGAAAGTAAACAGGGAGCTGCAGCAACAATGATTTGATTTGATTGTAAAGTCTAACGGAGCTGCAGGAGGTGAACTGTCACACCAGAGCCCTGACACATGAAGAACAAAGATAACTGAGCTCAGGATCATCTTTTGACACCCATGGTTATAGTGGTAACAGCAGGTGCATTTTTAATACTACAGGTCCCAAAATACTGGAGGCAGCAATCACTTCTTAAGCAGCTACGTTGTCAGGAACAGAGAAGAGGAGCAAGTGGTGAAAAAAGCACTGTTTTTCCTGTGGCTGCTTCACAATAAAAGCCACCAAGTGTTTCGCCAGCTCCTAAGCAGCAGCAGTCGGACATATGGCTGCACAATTATGTCCAAAATGATAATCATGATTATTTTAATTTATTGAGATCACGATTATTCATTGATTTTAGGTACAACATATTTTTCTTAAACAGGCTGTTCAATATATCGTCAATAAATATTTGGTTTAATTCATTTTAGTCACGAACAAATTAGCACTTAATTTTTCTATTAAAATAGGGACTGAAAAAAGACTTCCTAAATCATATTTGTTGAAAAAGATGTTATCTTAATAGTTTTGAACGTTCTACCTCAGATTTGTAAAGTGATCCACTGTTTGGCATCAAGTGTTTGTCATAAATAAAAGTTTAACCACATAAATACCCATCTGGTTTCTTCAATTTTCACTCTGCAGCAAAAATCTGCCTTTAAACTTGAAAGAAATAAGGATTTGACATTTATTGTGATAATTATCAATATCGCTTTTTTTTTCAAGACCAGGCAAGACCATAACTTTGGGAATATCAATAAACTGCTTGTGCATTGCCTGATTTATTCCTAACTTTTATTGGATGTAAAATGTTTTGCTTCAATGCCACCGATAACCCTAATTAAAAATTCCTGTTAATGATTGTCACCCCTCCCCGCGATGGCGACGCTTACTTTGATTTCAGCTCTTGGCTTTTGTATGTGGGTGTTTTAATGGGAATGTGGATCTTTCAGATCAATTTGAGAAGTACCTATGATCTTGTTCCACATTTTATTGTGTGTCATGTAATAAGGGGAACTGGTCTAAGTCTTGACTAAGTCTCGGTTCGGGCGGTCTTGACTACAACACTAGTGCACGCGCAGCCAAATCGCCCCCTTGGCAGTAAGTTTAGGAAACGCTTGATTTGTGCAGCAGAGTTTTCCATTAGCGGATGAGCGGAGCACGCATTTCAAACTGCAATATCGCTGTCGATCATGTCCATTTATTGAGGGAAGCTAAAATCGTAATTGCAATCAATATTCAATTAATTGTGCAGCCCTAGTAGGACGTGTTTGTTTGCATTACCTGGAAATTAACACTCGCTTGATATGGCTGAAAACAATGATATCAGTAACGCTGGATATCACAACCATGCATTGTTTTCTGTGAATCATTTGAGTGTAAAGGCAGCTCAAAGCTAGTGCGGAAACTCATAGCTACTGCATAATAATCTGCATAAACTGCTGGTATAGACTTTTCCCCTTTATTTTCTCAAAGCACAGGCAATTCAATTACTTCCAACAATCGGAGGTTAACGCAGCTCAGCGCACATTTCTTCAAACACACTGTATGTAAATGAATTGATCTCATCCTACAGATTAATATCATACTCAACAACAAGACATGAAACACCCAGCTCATTACCTTATTCAAATCGCAGGTTTTATGATCCAGAAATATATCCACAGACCAAAAAGTCAAGCCGTGTTTTTAATGAAAATAACATAATATAATCTCATCAGCATCACATGAATATTCATTAAAAAAATTCAATTCTTCATTCAATCCTTTCAGCCTTAAAAAGGACCCAGCCTCAAGGGATTAGTTCTCCAATATCTTGTCTGACAGGGAAAGTTTAAGCATTTATTATCTAATCAAATATATCGGAAAAACCTACTAAATGTAAAAAAAATCGTATATAATTCCAAGCAGAGTGATGAGTTTGGGGTAACAACAAAAAGGCAGTTTACTAACTGAAAACAACCAAAAATAAATAATAAAAATACAAAATCTCTTTCACACCGAAGATGAAATCTATTTGATTAAACCAACATGAAGAGGTTTGTTTAGTGCTTTTGTGTCTCACAAGATAAATCAGAATTCATTCTACAGATGGACAGATAACTTTAGAAAATGTACTGATCATCATCGTTGTGCATCATCATCATTTTCATCATCATCCTGGTATCCTGTTTTCTCATTTATCCTTAGGTGCAATTAAACTGCATTTTAACTAGTTAGATTACATTTCACATTAATTTGGATTTACATTTTCTTTTCCTCTCCTAGGAAACACTTTCAGATAATAAACAAAACATTTCAACAAATTAAGTATGCAAAGCACTATGGGATAATTTTGGAGTTCTTTGGTGACGAGTGTGTGAGCTTTACCAGGGTGGCTCAGAGGAGAGAAAACAAAACAGAAAATAACTCAAACTGTCAATTAGATTCAGCAGCGAGACACCATCAATCTGTGCACGAACATCCTCATCATTGCCATCCACACTTTCACTCAACAGCACGTCCTCACACACTAAATATAGATTCATATGATGGTTCATATATCAGGGCTGACGAATATGAATGTCTCTGCAGATGTAGTTTTCAAAAAAATTGTTTATGTTTCTCCAGGACTGTAAGAAGCCCACATGAGTTATCAGTGGTGCGTATAATTTGTTGGATATTTATATTGTGAATATATTTCTATTGCTTTTATCTCATGTAAATAAAACTGACAAGATAAAGAAAAATGGGTTTTTTTTTCTCCACAATAACTGCTGTACCTGCATTTGCGTTTCTGTCTACGATTTTAAAATCGTTTTGACGAGTGAACCTACCCCTTGATTGACAGCTTGATTGAAGTCCTTGGCCAGCGCTCCAAACAGGACGACGTTAATGGACAACTTCTGAGACGAGGCGCTCGGCTGAGATTCTTCTTCTGCAAAACAGACGCGCAAACATGTTTTTAAACTGGAATGAAGTAAAGATGGAGATTCAACATTAAGCTCGGGCATACATATTTGTTAACCTGAATTTTTTTTAAACATTAAGATACTCACAATCCAATTGTGAGGATTTTGCTGCTTTTCTTTGTCTTATGTGATAATAATCTGAATAGCTTTGGGTTTTGGATTGTCAGACAAAACAAGCTGTTTAAAACACATGGCCTTGGGCTATAGGGAACTGTGATGGGTTATTTTCACTTCTTTCTGACATTTTATAGACCGAAAGATTAATCAGACAAATAATAGCAGATAAATTCATAACAAATATAATTGTTAGTTCAGATCATGTGTCATCAATGCTATGGAGACACATGAGCCACATCAAGCAAGCATCAGGTGTTTTCATTCAAAATTAAAACTTTTATGCCTTTTAAAGTAGTTTTTCAAGTGGTCCAGCAGCTTCATCAGCTTGACCCATAGCATGCCCTATTGACCTATTGACCTATCAGTAATACTAAACTATTAAACAAAATTGGTGGAATACACTAGTAAGCAAAGCTATGCCGACACCGAAGCGGAGATTTAGCGTGTGTAAGTATTTTTGGTTATGGTTAAGGCCTTTTGTTGACTTTGTGAAAAGCAGCTGCTTTACAACAACAACAAATCTGAGGACTCAGCAGCTAGCTGCATCACATGTGAGGCAGTAGAGGAACCAGAAACAAGTAGAGCAACTTCAGCTTAGGGCTGGGCGATGTGGCCAAAAATGTCATATCATACGATTCCAATAATTATCACCATAAAATGTAAAAAATCATTATTTCTTTCAAGTTTAAAGGCTGATTTTTGATCCTGAGTGAAAGTTGCAGAAACCAGATACTAGGTTTTAAATAAACACACTGACGTCAAACAGTGGATCACTTAACAAATCTGAGGTAAAAATAGATTTGTTAAGTGATCCACTACTTGAAATAACATTCAGAATAATTATGATAAAATCATATTATTATTTTTTATTATTATTATTATTTCAGAAAATATGCACGAGTCAAGTTAAGTAAAAAAAATTCAGTCCCTTTTTTAACAGAAAAATTAAGTGCTGATTCGTTAGCGATTCAAATTAATTAAATCAAACATTTATTGAATATTTGTAATTTTATTATGGAGGAAAATGATATTGCAATAATAATCATTATTGTTTTATTACCCAGCCCTACGTCAGCTGTACAACTGGTCAACACACTCTTGCCAGAAGCTTATAAAAAGGCCATCACCGCTAAGATAGCAACAGCTAACCTTACCAACACACAGCTCTAAGCAGGAAGAGAACGATGTATTCTTCCCTTAAACATGTTAGGGAAATGTCTGTGTTGAGTTCTGACCACAGACGAGACTCTTTGAGGTGTTCTTATCAGTATGAACGAAATGGACCAAATAAGGAAACACCACCAGCCTGAATATATCTCTACAGAGTTGAAACAATAGTGTGACTGTCACAAATCAGACAAAATATCCCACAATGCACCGGAAGGTCAAACCCTGTCCCAAAATTTACAGACAATGTCAATAAACCAACAATACAGGAGAGGTGGACACGCTCATCCTGCAGCTGGAGACAGTCGGGGTGCCAGGGAGTTTAAATGAATAAAAGGAAGGATGTCCCCGCCACAATAAGAGCCTCAGCTTTCTGTGTCTTTTCAATCAGGCTGCTCAGAGATAAGAAGGCCACAAACAAGGTAACAATGACACACATTTGCCTCCGTCTGCTTCTACAATCCAGACCAGCTAACCGGATTAACACACACATCCTATTCTGAAAGATCCACACACACAGTGAAACTCCACACAATCAACTCTGCAGTACTATGCAGAGGTTTTTCCTTTCTCTCTTTAGGTATTGCAGCCCATTGACTCGTTCAGTATCAGCATTTGCTGTTTTTGGCAAACAAGTTCTGATAAACCTGCTGTACACAATCAAACCTTTGTGAACTTTTACATGCAAATTCTCATCATTGACTAACAGCAAAACATCTTCACAGTGCTGACCTTTAAGAGACAGAGACTCTAAACCAGTAGATGCTATCATATTAGATATATCTATTCAGTTTTATAAAACCATGCAAGTATAAACTCCACAACAGAGATGCTGCACTGTCTGCACTCAGACGTCAGACGTGAAGCCCATACAAATACGGACAAATACCTCGAATTGTCCGGTTAGCTTTTAACAGACCAGTAACAAGCTTAGATTGAGGGCTATTGTGGTTGGCTAGCACTAGCAGGTACCAGCACCTGCCAACCAAGTAACAGCTGGTTTTCTAGCCACAGCCAAATAGCCCACAGGTTACCAGGTGTATGTCACCAAGCTTCCAGCCCCAGCTGTTTCCAGAGGAAACACAATTGAATCTCGCACACTGTGGCGCAGAATATCACATTCTATTAATAGTTAAAAACAGTGTGACAGAGGTAAGAAAAGGAAATACTTCAAAAGCTACATTTAAAGCTTCATGCAACACTAATCCTGTTTTTTCTGGTCTTGACTGGTTAACTCAATGTGTATTGCAATAATAATTAACAATGTTGTGTATTTAGTCTTCTCAAAATGCTTTATTTTAGAATTTGACTTAAGAAGTTATTCCTATTTTGATTAAATTAGGCTGGTGATGGAAGATAAATATTAGAACTTCAAATAGGAGTCAACCTAATAAGTATTTATTTGTAGTATCCCAAGAGAGGCATGTAGGAAAGCTCCCAGCATGCACTGATGCAAAGGACAAATTTTATCTCTTAGTGTCATCGAACCCCAAATTGCAACTGACGAGCAGACCAGTGCTTGCCTGGCATGGTAATGTGAAAACAATACTGTCACATTTTACTATTTCAGTCCCAACTCTGCAAAAAAAGATGTTCATTGACTTTTACATTCAGTTTCAGATGAGTAAATGACGTTGATTTAAAAAATATATTTTTCAAAATGAGTAATAATAATAATAATAATAATACTAATAACAATCTTTATTTATAGAGCACTTTTAAAACCAACGTTACAAAGTGCTCAACATGAAGCAGTTATAACATAAAAACATGTAAAACAATACAAAAAACAAATGTTACTTCAAAATATACATCAAATAAAATAATGTAAAAGCCAATAAAAGTATGTTTCAACAAGGGATTTAAAAGAGTTTACTGATTCAGCCGACCTAATTTCCTCGGGTAGATTGTTCAAGAGCCTCGGTGCCCTAACTGCGAAGGCTCTGTCCCCTCTCAATTTCAGCCGGGTCTCTGGGACAAATAAAAGCCCCTTACCCGACGATCTCAAGTTACGAGCTGGTATGTAGTGTACTAGTAGGTCAGCGATATAGCAAGGTGCCAGACCATGTAAAGCCTTAAATGTTATAAGTAAAATCTTAAAAATCAATACTAAAACATACTGGGAGCCGATTTAATGAGGCCAAAACAGGAGTGATATGATCACGTTTCCTAGGTCTAGTTAAAAGCCTGGCAGCTGAATTCTGAACATGCTGTAGCCGATCAATAGATTTTCGATTCAGGCAGGTAAAGAGACTGTTAAAGTAGTCTAAACGTGAAGAAATAAAAGCATGTAAAATGGTCTCAGTATCTTTAAAAGTTAAAAAAGGTCAGATTTTAGAAATGTTTCTGAAATGATAAAAACATGATTGCACCAGCTTTGTGGATTTGATCTGATAAACCGAGGCAATCTGTCAATGGCACAATATGTTTGGTCAAATGCTTGGGGCCAATGATGAGCATCTCTGTTTTATCGGAATTTAATTGAAGGAAATTATTGTATATCCAGTTTTTTTTAACTCACTAGGGCAGTCCTTCAATGAAGTTAACATTTCAGGGTAAGCGAGTAAAGATTAAATTTTTTTAGTGTATCCAAAAAATTACTTGACTGAAAAGCCACATTGTTTATTAATTAAGTGTACTGAGTGCCAGAGAGAATATATGATAAAGACCACAAATAAGTCTAAGAACTTAATCAATACATAATGATTCATCACTATAGTTCAGGTTTTTCCTCTTCTAATAATGAATTTTCAAAATTTCCAACCAAGTAAACAAAAAGATTATTTCCTTCTGTGACTGCCTGACTGTGCTGAACTTACCTTTACATCTGTACCAGCCTGCTCTGAAAACTAATTTATAAAAGACAAAGGCTTTATAAAAGACAAAGAACCCAGAAGGCAGCTGCTGCTGGGACTAAATTCAGGTACGAGTGCACACCTGATCCACACACAAACACAAACACATGTTGAGTGTTACCTTGGATGACAGTCTTCAGGATGAAGTTGTCAGCTGCTAAAAACACCAGCGGCCCTTTAAGAACCACCTTCCCCTGGAGAAATAGGAAACACTTAACTTATAGACAAATTGAAAAAACATTTGGCCTTGACTGAAGCTCTGCAGAATTTCACTGAGGGCCGTCAACTGATCAAAGCCACATCAGAAACCTGAGCAGCATTGATGAGCGCCTTAGGCCAATGAGCTGTGAGACAGAAGACGGATTATTAAAACAATAGTATCATGTATAAAAAAAAAATAGAAAACAAAGAGTGAAACTAGGTGCATGTGAACAGATGGTGGCAGGTGACAGATAAATGAAAAGGGAATAAAGAGAAAAGTACATGGACATCAGTGCAGGAAAAAAACAAGAAAACAGAAAAACACCTTCTTGAACGCTACAGAAAGATTTAGTACATGTGAGGGGCTGCACAATTTAAATGTTTTTTTTTCACCCTAATTACCTTTTGCACAAACGTCCATAACAAAAACATTAAGGTCCATTTTTGTGGAAATAACCAGCACAGAAATTGTCTTTGGCTTTGTCTTTGTCGTCTTGTACTGTGTAGAGCAGCTGCATGGCACACAGATGGGAGGATCATTCAAATGAAGCAGCGCAGAGTGAGTTGTTGGTATTCTGGTGTAAACTGGGTCTTACAATAGACATCTCAGAACCAGGTCAGGATTCAGAGGCAGAGAAATACACAGCTTGGCCTTATACACCTAGCATTAAAATGCATCTCGTATCCAGATTGTATCTAAATATGATTTTAACCTAGCATTAATATCCGCGAGTGTCCACATTGAGATCTGATCGAGATCTAGCCCTAGCTCAAACAACAGAACAATACACCCTCTACTACCCTACAACTATAGACTGTATAATAACTTCCGGTACTTTACTGGCAACGCATTGGCATTAGTTCAATATGGTGAAAATGTGTGCCTTACCACCTCCAGAGTTGGGCTGGGCGATATGGACCAAAAAGTCATATCCCGGTCCTGTTAGGCATAAATGTATGAAATATACATCGGTATTTTCTGCTAAGTGGGCTGGGCGTTGGTCTGTTTTAGCGGCCATGTTTTTACTATTTGTAGTAACTTAGCTTGTTTCTTATTTCACCATTTTAATTATACTTGAGTGTCACTCACTTATTGAATCTGCCTCCTTCAGTTCTCTTCACACTCACAGACCTAGGAATTAACTCAACATCAAACTATATTGATATAAATGGTATTGTCTAATTTTATATCTCTTTTGAAATTATCGGTATACCTCATTATACTGATATACCGCCCAGCCCTACTCCAGAGCTGGCTTGGCAGCGGAAGCTTTTTTAATGCCAGGCGTAAATGGGCTGAGAGCTCAGTGGTAACGAGGTAAAGAGTAGATGCTGTAGATTCTTTCTTTGAGAGAAATATCGGTATTATCACTGTGTGAAATTTAAAAGCCTCTCTGATTACAATCCTGCTGTAAACAAACCTTGACTGTTTTGTTGGTGTAGTTGGTGCTGGTGCTGATGAGCGAGAAGGGAATCCTGGTCAGGTGTGATGGTACCTGGGCGCCGGGCCCCGCCCCCTCCGACAGCACAAGGACAGGCATTACATCAAGGTGTCCTGAAGGGCATGAATTGAAAAATACTTTGGGTTAGAGTTCAGTCTCTGGTTTAATGGGACTGATTCTAGGTCTGTTGAATAATGAGGTCACTAACAAAACATCTGAAAATGTTAAGTTCATGTTTATCCGGCTTGCACAGAAGTGAATGTCAGTGATTTCAAGCTTCTGCCATCTGAAAGAATTCAGGAAACACATCTGCTGACAGACACTGATCCAACCTGTGATCTCTGGTTTAAGGTCTTTGGTTTGAAGTCTAGTCTAACTGTCCTCCACCACAGACAACTTACCACCAGGACAAAACCTCTGACAGGAAACACCAGATCCATGTCGACAGCGCGGCGGGAGGGTTAAAGTCTGTGAGGCGTTTCAGAGAGAAACCCAGAAAAGCGTTGGCCGCGCTCCCAGCAGGTAGCACGTTGCTTCCTGTCAGAGCTCGTTAGTTTAATTTCCGACAGATTTGACTGGCGAGTCCCTCGGTGGTACCTTGTCGACTGAGGACGGCTGAGCGGGAACAGCCTGCGAGGCAGACGAGCTGTTCACTCAGGCGTACAGTTAGCTGTTCAGTCAGGCAGAAAACCCAGCCAGCAAAAAATAAAAATCAAATAAACCTCTGATTTAGACCAGAGGGGAGGAGCCGGAGGCCTGAATTAGAGCACAATGAGTGATTCATTCATGAGTCCAGAGCTGCTCTGTGTGAAGGTACCACACGACCTACATGACACTACTTGTAGTAACAAGTCACTCTGTCAGCCCCCGAAACAACACAAACCTCACTGAGCTGCAGGTTCATCAGCCAGAGCTCACCTGGCAGCTCAGAGAAATTTCAGCGGCTTAAACACTTAAATTAGTCTGTCTTTCTGGTGTCACTGTCACACCGATAAAAACAAACAAAAACTGTTAAGAACATTAAGCTGACAAGTGTCTGGTCAGATTCTTTGTTCTGAAAGTCAAAATGCTGTCAAGTTAGACTGTATTTTATGATGTCTGAGAGAGATGCACTGCAATTTATGAAAACACAAAAGGCAAGCAGACAAACACAATATCCTTATACTATACTAAAAAAACAACTAAAACTCAAGGAAATTTAGATTTCATCAACCATGACGCAAAATAAACAAGTGTGATGAAAATACAGGAACGCTGAAAGAAGTCACACAGAAAAAAAATGGAAAAGGGTTCACAAACTAAAGGTTTTCAGTAACGGTCAAGTGATTTGGGTTTATCTATGGCCGATGCTTGATATTTAGAGAGCAGGCAGCCGATGGCCGATTTAATGCCGATATCAAAACAAAGTCATGTATAATTAAATTTTTGCATGCAGACAACACTCTATTATGCAAGTTATCTTAACCAGTATTGTGTTGTTTTAGATGGATTTTTTATTAATTAATGATATAGAAAAATACATTGGATTAAGCTGTAGATTTCAGAAAGTTACTTGTTGTCCCAGGACTCAGTACAATCAGTCTGAGGCTACATCCACACTACTACTTTTTCATTTTGCTAAGTCTGCACCTCCCGTCCAGACGAAAACGGCTAATCCAAAGACCTAAAACGAAGAAGTTTGAAAACGATGCCAACCCCGTTTTCTTTTTAAAATAGTCCAAAAATGGAGGTAGCACATATGGCTTCCTGATTGGGTGTTACAAGTCACGCAAAGTCAAGGCAAGGCAAGTTTATTTGTATAGCACATTTTAACAACAAGGTAATTCAAAGTGCTTTACATAAAACATATAAGAAACAGGGAAATATAAAAAAAAGTTTAAAAGCAACATAAAATATAATAAAAGTTACAGTGTTACAATCAGGGTTAAAAGAGTTAAATGGATAAAAGCAATGATAAAAAGCTAAAAACAAAGAAAAAGAAAACAGCACAGTAAAAGTTACAGTGCAGTGTAAGTTATCAATAAAAAGAAAAATCTGGTCTGGATGGTTCGTAACGAAGCAGAAGATCAGAAATGTATTTTGGCCCTAAACCATTTAGTGCTTTATAAACTAACAGCAGGATTTTGAAATCAGTTCTTTGACATACAGGAAGCCAATGTAAAGACCTCAGAACTGGAGTGATGTGATCCACTTTTTGGTCTTCAGCAGCGTTCAGAATCAGCTCCAGCTGTCTGATGGATTTCTTAGGGAGCCCTGTAAGGACACTGTTACAGTAGTCAAGTCCTCTGAAGATAAATGCATGGATAAGCTTTTCCAGGTCCTGCTGAGACATAAGTCCTTTAATCCTTGATATATTCTTCAGGTGATAGTAGGCTGACTTTGTAATTGTCTTAATATGGCTCCTTAAATTTAATCGTTCCTCCCTGGCTCCAAAAACAATAACTTCAGTTTTATCTTTGTTTAATTGGTGAAAATTCTGGCACATCCAATCGTTGATTTGTTCAATACAGTTACTCAGCGCCTGTATTGGATCATAGTCCCCTGGTGAAATGGTTATGTAAATCTGTGTGTCATCTGCATAATTATGGTAACATATTTTGTTGTTTTTCATAATCTGAGCCAGTGGAAGCATATAAATGTTAAACAAAAGAGGTCCCACAGAATGGAGGCACAAGTAATTTTTGTCAGCTCAGATGTGTGATAACCTATAGACACAAAGTAGTCCCTGTCCTTTAAGTAGGATTCAAACCAGTTTAGTACTGTGCCAGAAAGTCCAACCCAGTTTTCAAGTCTGTCTAGTAGTATATTGTGGTCGACCGTGTCGAATGCAGCACTGAGATCCAATAATACTAAGACTAAAATTCTGCCACTGTCAGTGTTTAAATGGATGTCATTGAAGACCTTGACAAGAGCCAGCTCAGTGCTGTGGTGTGGTCGAAAACCTGACTGTAAGACATCAAAACAGTTATTTAGTGCCAAGAAAGCACTAAGCTGTTGAAAAACAGCCTTTTCAATGATTTTACTTAAAAATGGGAGATTTGATATGGGCCTATAATTGCTCATTAGTGAACTGTCTAGATTGCTCTTTTTTAAGAGTGGCTTAATGACTGCAGTTTTTTAGGGCCTGTGGGAAAAGACCTGAGGAAAGAGACATGTTGACAATTTGTAGTAGATCTGAGGCCATGCATTTAGAAACATTTTTGAAAAAACCTGTTGGCAGAATATCAAGGCAGCAAGAGGAGGATTTCAGATGATTTCAGATGTTGTATTACGCAAAGAAAAAACACAAAGCTACTGAGTGTTTTTGTTTTGGTATTTTAATTAAAATATTATGTACTGTGCAAATAACACTTCTGTACTGTAAGGGTGTGCCAAAAAAAATCGATACAGCAATATATCTTTCTACATTTTTCCATGATACTGTATCAATATTCCAGGCCATCATATCGATTCAAAAAATAAAAAAACAGCTTCCTGTTGACACCAGCACGGCCATGCCCAGTGTACGTGAATGGCCATTAGATGTGCGTGTTCAGTCGTTGTATAGACAGAGATCAACTCTGAAACGCAGCTAAAACACTGGTGTGGCTCGAGATCGTAAAGTAAACTTTGCTCAGTTTCTTTAGAAATATTAATCAGTTTAGCGCGGATACATTTATTGGTATACCGGACAATAAACTATAATCGTGAAATTCAAAAATGAAAGTTACATGTTTAAATGTTGTTTTATAATGAAATAATGATGTTGATGCTTGATGTGTTTGAGATCTGACTGATGACCCTATGCTCCAATGTTGACAATGATGCATTTCAGCAGCTTCAGCTAGCTACCATTTATTTCTCACACAGACAGGAATACCCTAAATCATGGAGGCTCCCATTTATAACGGATGATGACTTCAAAACATATGATGATGTGCTTAAAAGTTTACCGAGATATTCCAACCTCCCAAAAGTTTCAATTTGGCTTTACGAACTAACATTTAGTTATATCTGATCTAATCTGCTGCCAGCTAATTAAAAAAGATAAATTACTAATTAGCTTAGGGATTTCTAACCATCTATTAGAACCCAAACTTAATGAAGATGGCATACTGTAACATTCACCTATATAGCTTCATTAAATCCTGAGAAACACTAACGTTATCATTCAAAGAAATCTTTCAAATGTTGATTTACAATGAAAAATACTTGTGTAAAAAGTGGCACCTCTGACTTTGCATCTCCATTGGCAGCTCCATAGCCACACTGTATCCTGCAGGCAAAGTCACAAAAACCCACCTGTGTGATAACATCCTGACACCTGGACCTGCAGGACCTTAACTATACATGCAGCGAGCTGGCCTGTAGCCTCCAGTAGCTGGTTAATTTGTGAACGGTACAGACTAAGCTGTTAGTCAGAGTCCCTCCCACAGAGCAGCAACATATCAGAGACCACCAGTCGGCTGTAAACAGTCTGCTGATCCCCGCGGTGGGACAGCAGCCGATCCCTGCCAAATGACGGGCGGGCCACCCCGAACAGACGGCGTCCTTCTTGCTCCTCTGAGCGTCACAGAAACCCACTGCTCAGCTGCTCCGGGACACTCATTAACATAGAGGGTAACTCAAGTTCATCCCATCCCAACATCATTCATGAGGAACAGAGCGGCTGAGAAGGACAGAGGATAGATCTCCAAACAGAAGCAATTAGGACTGCAAACCAGACATGACCATTATGTTGGGAGGACACTCGATTGTTGCAAGTTGAGTAAATAAATAGGTGAAGTTTATTTAATATAATATATAGCACCTTTCTCAGAGCAAGGTCTCAAAGTGCTTCACAAAAGTAAAATCCCCTCATTAGACAATGTGACTTCCTCGAGTGCCACCGAGTGAGACACAATGTTCCATAGCAGTCACATCTATTTATGGCAGTAATTTAATTTATTCATCATCGATTTTCGATTGATTCCTGCCATATACAGCTGGAATTGAATGATTAGTTGATAGACAGAAAGTGAATCCACAATTCTGATCATTTTGGTTCAAACATTCTCTTGTTCATGTGACATCTTGCTGCTTTTCTCTGTTTTAAATCATTGTAAACTGGATATCTTTGGGTTTCGCACTGTTG